ACCACAATATATTACATAGTATCAGATGCTGACTAGTGAGTATAGAGTTAATACAGTTGTAACTTTAAAACATTGTTGAGCTGGTCAGATACTAAAAACATGCAGAGGCAGCAGAGCCAGAGCCTTTCGTTCACATTAGCAGGCATTAGCTGCTACTCACCTCTCTCTTCCCATAAACGCAGTATTGATTTGCTCTCTGGTGTTCACTGAAGCACTCAGCTCTGACGCTCCATCCAGTTCCATCAGACTCGGGAACCATGCTCAGAACTTAGGAAAGATTGAGGTGTTCATCCTCATTTTTAACCTGGTTTAATCATGATTTATCTGATAACTGGTCTAGTACTCATCATTTGGCTGTCTAGTCTGCTTCTCAAAAGGTATGTAGAGTAGACATCATTTTAATCAAGAACTGGATTGTGTAATTTTTCTGGTGGAGGATCCAACGTTTGTTTTTCTCTATGTAGATGTTATTGCTTTGTCTGAAATGTTTCACAGTATGGCATTAATACACTTTTCTATCATCATGGATACCAAACCAGGTCAAGTTACTGGTCAGTTCTGTGGAGAGGGAACCCAGCTCACAATCAGAATCCTGTTTTTGTGGGTATTTTTAAACAATAAAACCATCTGTAATTGATGACAAGTAAGGTAGATCTATTTAATGTCATACTGTGGAACATTCGAAGCAGAGCAATGACATATCCATAGAAACAGGTGATGGACCCCAACGAAAAAGTTACAAAGTGCACCTTTTATATTTCGGTGGAAGTAAAACAAAGTGATATAATGAACAAAAAGCTTAAAACTGTATTTGAGACTACAACTATGTAAATGAGTCAGAGGAGACATTTTTAGTAGATGGTTTAATAAATAATCAGACAGACAAAAGACAAAATTATTCATAGAGGGAGATATTTAGGCTACTGTCAACACAACCAAATCTTAAAAAGGATCTTAAAGGGCCCATATTATGCTATTTTTAAATCTCTATTATGTTTCCATCTTTACTGAACTAATGGTAAAAGGTAGCTGTTAACTTGAATACTACCACTTCCGGACATCACAAGGTGGAACAGGACATTTTGAGATTTCGAGATATAGAGAGACTTCTTAGTAAAATAAACATGAAGAAATTACTAGTGGACATCTGTGCTACATTTGTATTAAACTGATTAAAATCTCTGGACTTAGGCCTGTCACAATAACACATTTTGAAGTGTGATATATTGCTGAAGGAAATATAGATGATAAACGATAATATTGAAAGTAAACCATGAAACAGAATTATCTCCAATAAAGTATTCTATATTCACTGCCTCAAGATGTTATGTCTTTATCACATTGTGGCCAATTGGCCACCAAATACCTGTGTATTTTTAGTAGCATTTCTAACTAAATTTCTGGTGCTTTGTTTATCATTCCCACCCTCACTCTTTTTTTTTATCTGTTGTGTTATGAATGGTATGTTGTCAGTATACTTGGATTCCACATGTATAGTGTTTTTGGATATTTAGTTTTTAATTAGCGCATGTCTGGGGTCATGACCCCTATAAATGGTCACACCTGCTGCTCACTCCATCAGCTCTGATGAAGACTAAGTAGTTGAAACGTGTTGGTGTGACAATTAATAAATACATTGCAAATCAGTGTGCCTCTGCCATCCTTTTTTCTACTTAAAAAGTATTCTAAATCTTCAATATTGTTAAAAAACATGAGCTGCAATAAATAAACAGCAGAATGAAACAATTTAGAAGTTCATAATTCAACCCTCTACAGCTCAAACCTCATTGTAGTACAGAAAAGTCACCAAAATCTTCTCACTACACAGAAAAGTCCCCATGATAAATATTGACCTGAGTAACTTTTCTAGTGAAGAGTCCACCACCAGTTTGTTTTCATAGAGATTTTATTGCTTTGTCAGAAGTGCTCCACAATAGTTATTAAAGTTATCTGTCTGAAGGGAGAGCAGGCTACATTACAGGTCAGATCTGTGGAGAGGTAACCCTATTCACATAGAAAATTATTGTATTTTTGAGCAATAGAAACATCTGTAATGAGTGAGTGCGTATACATGCACATCAGTATTCCGGTTATTAGCCATATCCCGGTTATGGTAGTATTTGGGATACTATGTATACATGCCGCAGTATCCTGGTTACTATCGGAATATAACAGCAACAGTATCCCGTGTTTCTCATAACAGGGATACTGCCTTATTCTCGATACTGAAACTGGGATACTGCGTATACAGTACATGCACCATGACGAAACCGAGATACTCAAAAAATTTGATCATAACTGGGATACTGAGGTGCCTGTATACGCACTCAATAAATGCTATGAATAAACGCTACATCAATGTGTTTGATGTTACACCATGGAACATTCCAGTCAAAGCAAAAGAAAGCAGAAAATTCACTTCTGTCACTGGACAAAAGTTTTTGAACAAATTGAATTGATTTTGATCATAAACGTTTGTGCAGTTGACAGAATTGAATTTCTCCTTTGCTATGGATCCCACCTGGGCAACTGAGGGATAACACAAGCATTCCAGTAAAAGCAATAACATTTCCATTTAGTCTCCCCACCAGTAAAGTTACGCAATGCACCTTTAAAAACGATTGTTCCATCTGCCATGTATTGAAGGATAAGTCAGATATAGTAATTATAGTGACAGGCCTATCTGGACCATGGACTGAAATTGTGAAAAGACCACAGACACGGGTGCCATTCGGGTTTATTAATTTTAATCAATTCAGCTAGCTACAAAATGTCCACCACTTCACACACTGACGGATACAGAGGGAGTCTTAATAGTACATGCGTTGAGGACAATCTCACAGTTGAACTTGTGTCATTCAGGGTTGGGTATTTAATCACCTTACTCTAACTACTTTGACATTTGGCGATTTGGTGTGCATAGCTCTAGATTGAATACAGAAGCAAAATAAAAAATAAAATAAAATAAAACCTTTTGTATTGTGTTGCCAGGAGTAGTATTATTATAGTGTTGGTATTTCTTTTTACCAATAACAAACCACACAAGGAGAATAAACTTACAAGTACAGTCTTCTTATAAAAGTAAGGTCTCTCAGAAATATGCGTCTTTGCTTTACATTGCAAACTTTTATTTTATTTTTTCAGAGCATCCAAAACCTATGATACAGTACACAGCCAGTCCGCATCTTTCAACACATAGTCAACAATGTCATCACTGTATAATCTGCATAATCATTTAGAAAACAGGTCATTTTTTGCGATACAACCCAAAGTCCTCATTGTAGTCAACTTCTTCTTTCTTTTTTGATCCCTTTTGCAACAACAAGATGGTCACAGTCGGTAAATATATCAAGACAGAAAGAGTGGCACTATTGCAACCTTGCAGGATTATGGAAACGGTGTCCTAATACTGAGCATGCGTTTTGTCAACTTGCTACTGCCATGTTATTATTTTTTATATATATTTTTCAGACAGATTTTATTTATAAGACTAAAATCTACCATTTGTCATGCAGAGAACGCACAATTCACATCACTTGGAATGCAATGTCTAATACAGCTACAGAGAGTCTAGTTGCACATTGTCTAAACAGTAACTCAGTATGATTGTGATGGAGGAGAATGTACCAACCACTGGCTTTGATTGTAAGTGCTTTCCACCATCTCTTTCGTCTGTACCTTTGTTTAGTAAACGCTGTGTCCCCCTGTCCAGTAAGTTTGTGCCGACACTAAAGTAAGGAGCATGACAGTAGCCTAAGTGACACACTTTTACTAAGACGATACTGAGATACTGAAAGGAAAAGAAGAAAACAAACAGCTTTTAGAGCATTCCTATATATACTTGTCATCCAGAGCAGTGTAATTTATATATATATATGTATATATATATATATCTTATATATGATATGTTATAATATATGATATATATATTTTTGATAGAGATTAAAAACTTCACAGGTGAGCTAGAGAGCCATCAAGTCAGCACTATATACAACCTTTGGAAAGAATGTGATACGGAGTATAAGAAATCATTGTTTACGAGGACAATCATCTTGAAAAAGCTCGACAGACGACACAGAACAACATTTACAATGGGGAGGGGAGGTGATATGTGCATGTGTGCAAACCTAGAAGGTCAATACCATGATGAAAGCAAGTCAGCGCCTGAAGAGGGCGCAAGACGGAGTGACGCTCACCCGCCGCGCCTAGCCACTGCCCAGCATCTTTGTGGCACGCTGGTTAGCCTCATCAATCCTGGTCTTATTGGAGTCAGCCTGGAACAGGGAGCAGAGCCGGGTTAGAGTGGTACAGTGGCACTGTGTTTACCCTTCACTGTATGTGCCCTTTCACTGTGTGTACCTTATCACTGTGTGTACCCCTTCACTTTGTGTACCTTTTCACTGTGTGTACCTTATCACTGTGTGTACCCCTTCACTTTGTGTACCTTTTCACTGTGTGTACCTTTTCACTGTGTGTACCCCTTCACTTTGTGTACCTTATCACTGTGTGTACCCCTTCACTTTGTGTACCTTTTCACTGTGTGTTCCTTTTCACTGTGTGTACCTTTTCACTGTGTGTACCTTTTCACTGTATGTACCCCTTCACTGTGTGTACCTTATCACTGTATGTACCCCTTCACTGTGTGTAAGTTATCACTGTATGTACCCCTTCACTGTGTGTTCCCCTTCACTTTGTGTACCTTTTCACTGTGTGTACCTTTTCACTGTGTGTACCTTTTCACTGTATGTACCCCTTCACTTTGTGTACCTTTTCACTGTGTGTACCTTTTCACCGTGTGTACCCCTTCACTCTGTGTACCTTATCACTGTGTAGTCCTTCACTGTGTGTATTGAGTGCTGATGATTTAAGTAAACGTGTGTCCTTTAGGGCCACAGGGCATAGAGCTTCAGCCCGCACATGTCACACAGTAAAGGTAGTAGTAGAAGTATCCCAGAGCCCCCATGTACCTTCTCCATGATCCTGTCGATCTGGCGGTTCTGGGTGTCGATCTCGTTGCCCATGTCGAGGGCCATGTGGCGCAGGTTTCCGATGATGCCGCCCACCTGCTCCAGATTCTCGTCCATCTCATTTTCCCGGGCGTCGTCTGTTACCCTGGAAACAAACACACAAACAAAATCACACCTGGGCTCTCCGCACCAGATTTCACCTGTGAACCTTCAGTCTGTAACAAGCCTGACCTCACACCACTCAGCAGTCTTACCAACAACAATATGTCCCCCTGCTCACACTATGAACTGGTGGTGAATCACTTTGCATGTGTTTGTTAGCATTAGAGCTCCAGAGAGCCACTGTTTCTATTGTAATAGTCGTCTGAGCTTGGCTTGAAAAGAACAACTCATTCCACAGTGGACACATTCTCTTGTAACTTAATAATAAAATAGGTATGCATGGAATTAAAATCAAAATAGCTACAAAGATACAAGGAAACAAAACTATAACAACAGTAAAAAAAATAAATAAATAAAAACGTTCTTACTTCGCTTCCTGTTTGTCTCCAAGGAGATGTTATTAATTTACCTAGATTCATGGCTTTAAAGTTTAATGCCACACTGGAACATTTTAAGTCCTAGAATGTCCAAATTTAAACTTACTTAGCTGTCTATGCTTATTATTTTTTTGTTCTTATATTGTGATATGTGAGCCATTGTGTCCAAATAATTTCCCATGAGAAACAATAAAATTTGTCTAAGTCTATATCAATTCCAGGAGTTTTTAGTGAAAAAAAAAAAAAAGGTGCACTGTGCAACTTCTCTGGTGGAGGGTCCACTACATAGTTGTCTCCATGGAGATGCCATTGCTTTGCCTGGAATGTTCCATGGTATGATTTTAAATGTATACATCTAGTATTTATTCATTACAGGTGTTTCTATTGCTTTCCTTTCTTCTGTGAATAGGGGCGACTCTCCACAGATCTGAACTGTAATGTAGAGTAGTGCTGTAACCTGCTTGTCTCCCTCGTTATAGATGGGTTTAATCTAAACCAGGGGACTCCAGCCTTTTTACTCCGGTGAGCTACTTTTACAAAAGCAAAAATGCCAGAGAGCTATTAGTTTTAGCAGTCACAAGAAATTTTGTATATAAAAGAGCCTCAGCAAGCCTTAGATGAGGTATAGTTCTTATTAGCCGGGACAGTCCCAGTTTTGAGCAGTGTCCCCTGTCCCAGCAGATTTATACCAAACCAGTGATTTGTACCAGTTTTATACAAGAATTGTCCCAGGTGTCCCTATTTTTGACCAATTTGATCTCTTCCAACAGTAAAGAGAGGCATACAATGTAATTTTTTAAAGTAAAATACAGAAAAGCCACTGGAAAATGACCAAAACACAAAGAAAATGTGACTATACAGACTCATGTTGGTCATGAATGGGCCGAGTGCAAAAAAGTTTTCCTTAATTACGCACTAGATTCACAATTGTATTATTACCAACCACAAACTGAAGGTGTCCCAGTTTTTTATTTAGAAAATCTGATCACACTAAGTTAGACACCTGTAAAACATAAACCATTATCCATTTATTAGTGCACAAAGTTGGGCATTAAAATGATACATGTAAAACAGTAAAAGGCATTTAATTAATCAGATTTTACTTATTCAAAACAATACGGATACTTCAAAAATCCCTTGGTGAGCTACTTGTAAGGGGGTGGAGAGCTACAGGTGGCTCCCGAGCTACATGTTGGATTCCTGATCTAAACTATGGAACATTCTAGACACAGCAATAACATTTCTATAGAGACAAGCAGGTGGTGGACCTTGCAATAGAAATGTTATGCAGTGCACCTTTAATGTCACACTGCAGAACATTCGAGATTCAAACAAGCAGGTTACATACAGGTGACATCAAATATATGATAAATAATGAATGATAAATTAATCTCTATTGGTGTATCTGAGTATTGTTACAGTGCATTATAGGAGTGACCCTTGCTCCTCGTACCTGCGGATGAAGCCCCCGCTGATGGCCATCTGTTCACGCTCGTCCACCACGCGTGCGGGCTGGCTGGCAACAACGCCGTCCTGGTTATTTCCCCAGGCCTTGCTTGCTCCACTCTTCATCCTGACCAGTGACGAAGAGTGACATTCAAAACAATCAGAGACAACAAAGACACTAAAAAAACTTAAAAACTCAACCTCCACCAGGCTGCCTTCTCTCCCTCATGTCTACAAAGAAAGCCTGGGTTTGAGGAGTTGTGTGAAGTTTAGTAGGAGCTGATGTTAGTGTTATTTGGTCATGCATCACAGAAATATATGATAAAGGGACTAAAGGGACTAGAGAGGCTAAGTCAAGCGAAGCATTGCAGGCACGGGCTTGTTATGGTCTGTGTGATGTTATATGTGCTATAACATACTGAGTCACACTAATGTCTGCTGTATTCTAAAGCATGCAGTAATGTGTCCTGCTATAATGTGACAAAGAGAAGTGATAGTGTGGGGTTTTTAAACATGAAGAGTGAGGAACTTCATTAGTATTGGATATCATGGTACTCTTCTAAACCTCTATAATATGTACATTGTATAATGTCCAAAATGTCTAAAAACCCAAACTATGACTTTGGTTTAATGAACATAATGATCCTCCCCAGGACCCCCACAGTGAGACCCCTGTGTAACATAAAACACAGAAGACGAGTTTGAGCAGACACATAGACTGGGACAGAGTCAGAACGATTACACTGGACAAACTGATCAACAACAAACAAAGAAAACTGAAGGATGTTCCCAGAGAAATGCAGTGTGCACCCGCTCCCTGCTCCACAGTCTATGGGCACAGCTGAGCTAACAAGCGGCACTATCACAGCTCTGCAGCTCACCTCTCTGTGTTTGTCACTAGATCCTACTTAGCAACAGGAAAAAAACATTCTGTCTCCACAAAAATCATGCACACTATGCATTTGACGGCCCTTGCTTCCAACTGAAAGAATGATCTGTTATGTAACATTCTCCTATATTCAGCAGCTAACTGAAGTTAAATGAACAATTTCAGTAATAACCTTGGAGTTGTGAGACAAAGACAGAATAAGGACCTCTCCTTGTCTGAGTCATCTGACTTATGCACACTCTCTTCGGCCAAAACCACAGTGCACCTGGAGGCTTAAGGCTTAAGGCAGCATTAGATCATAGACTGTATATGATGGACATATGTAAACACTAAGGCAGAAATGCACAGTCTCTGTGGACTGAAAGTGGCAGCATCTTAGCTATTGTTGCTCATTACTGTGACAAGTGGACTTGATGTTTCACACATTGAACATCTCTCTACTACAGAGAGAAGTATGTTATAGTTTTTGTATTAATGGCTTGACTATTTCCATGATACTATGACAAAAAGTCTTTACTTAATTTTGGAGAAGCAGTCCAACAACTGTAACCTGTTTTCAACACTCTAAATTCTACATTGTGGTCCATAACATCCATTATTATTTCTGACACTGCACCGTGTATGAAACATAAAAATATATTTTAATACCCATAAACATCTATATAATAAAGCATTACCATTATGAGTTGCATCGTCATGCATGCAAGAGCATTCCAGGGTCATGCTCGCAGTCATGTCAGAGGCGTTTCTGATGGAGGGAGTGTTCAAACAAAAGGGTCTGGTTCCTCTAAGGATTATATCATGCACACGAGGAGAAGTGTCAGTCTGGAACAGGCTCTGCACAGTGCTGTTGGACCCAGACCTCATAGAGACATTTTACAGATAGACAAGGTCTGAGGCCAAGAGACTGAGAGAGCACAGGCCCTGCTCTGGACCTATGGACTGTAATGTATAAGACGAGGGCCAGTGGGCTCATGGGACCAGTGTTTAACATTACTTATGGACAATACTGCCCACTCATCTAGTGGCTTTAAGGTGTTTTGAAGCCAAACTATAATGAGTACACTTGTAATAATTATGTGAATATTTGAGCTGCAGCTGTAGTTTTGTCTCCAATATGACACAGGAGTAGCTCCCATTGGTTCTTCATAAGCATGCATGAGAAGGACCTGGCACCATCACCTCAGAGCTCAGAAAAGAGGTGGGGTTTGAGGAGCAGAGCAGACTATTGGCTGATGTTCGCCATAGCGGCACTTCTACCTCTCATGTCTACAGTATACTCTTATTCTGGTATGGCAGGCAGGCAGGCAGGCAAGCAGCACCTACTTGTTACATGGACAGGAGCAAAGACCACAGAATTTCCCTAGATCGTTCAAATTCTTTTCTGCATCCTTCATGTCCTTATTGATTTGGTCCATTCCCTCTTCGATGCGCTCCAGTTGCTCTGATTAAACAAAGCCATTTATCCCCCACAGAAGAAGAAGTAAGAGAAGAGGAGAGGAGCAGAGAGAGAGAGAGAAAGAGAGAGAGAGAAGACAAGAGAGAGAAGACAACAACTTCAGACACTCACTTTGACGAAAGAAAGTCCAACCAAAAAATCAAAAAGAACTAAAACGGGACGCCACCACATATGTAGGACCTCTGGGCACATGGTCAGTACCTACTTGTTACAGGGACATATGAAAAGCCCACAGCATTTCCCTAAATCTTTTAAATTTTTCTCGGCTTCCTTCATGTCTTGGTTGATATGGTTCATGCCATCTTCAACACGATCGAGTTGCTCTGGTCAGGACAAAGGGATGACAGTGTGGAATGAATTTCAGAGACTGTTGACAGAAGTATGAGAAATGGTGAAGTCTGCTGTTTTTATATGTGTGTGTACGGTGGGTTTGAAGGCACTGATCTAACCACATGAAACACAATTATGCTGTTTGAGCTTCTTTGGGCTGAGGAATGGGACCAAAACCCAAAGAATTCAATAATGACTCAGTTATTGAGCTGGGACTGAGAGTCACTGACTAGACTTTAACAGAAAAGCCTGTCTAGTAAAAGTAATGAGAAAGAAGTTAAAGGTGCATTATGCAGCTTTTTAGTGGAGGGCCTGTTAAGTGCTTTTCTTCATGAAGATGTTATTGTTTTTTCTGAAATGTTTCACAGTTTGGTATTAAATCCTTCGATCTTCATGGAGATCAAACCAGATCAAGTTATGGGTCAGATCTGTGGAGGGGCAACCCTTCTCACAGTCAGAATCCATATTTTTCTTTGTATTTTTTAGTAATAACACCACCTGTAATTGAATAAATGTACGGTAGATCTGTTTAATGTCATGCTGTGGAACATTCTAAGCAGAGCAATGACATATCCATAGAAACAAAAATGTGATGGACCCTTAACTGAAAAAAGAGTGCACATTTAAAGTGAAACTTAACATTAAATCAACCTTTTTATGTTTGTGTATAGGGTGTTTTAACAGCATTGTCTACTGTTCCTAATTTTTTTGGTACTGTTTACAACTTTCTGGTCTAAAACGTATAAACATTTGTGTGCTGTGGCTCCAGGGCCCACTAATTTCCGGTAGCTGGTGACATCACAAAAGACTGTCCTGATTACAGCCGGGTATTTCTGATTACAGACACTGGCTGCAGAGGTGGAGTGTGTGTAGTGTGGATGTCAGACCAATGACACTGTTCCTTACACCCCAGACCCCGCCCCTCCTCTCCCGTCTCTCTTTCTGCGTTCAATTATCCTTCCAATTCGGTGTTCTGATGAAGTTGCCTAGCGACATGTGTGACACGCCGCTTTTCCTATGACAGCCCGACTCGGAGCTCGGTGGCGGAAAAAGTAAACCGAGCAAGGATTCCGAGTTAGAAGCCAAGATGGCTCTGGTCACTGTGATGTTTAAATATGTTTTCATTGTGTTTGGACACTTTTGTGGTTTAAATGACAATTTCAGTCAATCATATTACTGCAATACCTTACTGTGTCCATATCAGTGCCTATGGGTTTGATAGATGGTTAGCTTGGTTTAAGTTTATAATAAAATAGCTGATGCAATGCCACTAAATAAATAAATAAAGTACTGAGATCACATATCATATATGCCATGAGAGCAAGTGAAAACGCTGGTAGTTCAATTCCTGTTACTGTCATTGTGTCTTTAGTCCACGTGTTTGAAGCAGGGCCTTTACAAGTTTTGAAAATGAACCCTATAACTTTGGTGTGGCTCTATGAACTATGGGAGTTGTAGTCATGCTAGTGTGGCAGATGGCATGTTTACTTCCTGGTTATGAGTAAAGAAAGTGTGGTGCATGTGTGGAGGGTGGAACACGGTTAAAAATGAAGCACACTGAGAAACTTCTCATTGGTTTCTGTTTTGTAAAATCCCTGGACTGCATTCATTTGACATGTTAATTCACATAATATCATAAGGCTTACTATTATAGCGGCCGTAAAGCTATAATCAATAATGAAATGTCAAAGGTCAGCACAGGGTTGTGACCAATCAAATAATAGCATAGATGCAAACAGGAAGTGCATTCCTCCATCCAAGGACTGTACAAAGCAGCAGGTTTTTGTCATTACCAGCTAAATCGATCGTTTCTTTCTCATGCACAGTATTTGGTTTTGCTACACAACCTTTTGACTGTTTTTAAAGATGCACTATGAAACTTTGGAGTGTAGGGTCTACTAACTGCTTATCTCCATGGAGACGTAAATGCTTTACTGTGGAATGTTACACAGTGTGAGATGAAAGTTATCCATCATGTGTTTATTCAGTTGCATCAGTTTCTATGGAGTTAGATAAGATACATTGTAGATCATTCCAGGCGAAGCAATAACATCTCCATCGAGACAAGCCGATAGCGGGTCCTCCACCACAAAAGTTACACAGTGCACCTTTAACTTTTCAAAATTTATACGCAGTCAAAAATAATGTATCATTAACTGTACCTTTAGACAAATTACCTCCTAAATATGTTTTGCTGTATAAGGTTTGGTTATCCAATAGACATGATGAATATTACAATTTGAAAAAGGCCCTACTTTGTTTTGGGGGCAAGTAAAGGAAATTTTAAAAAAGCTGCAGGCAAAACAAAAGCAGTTAGGCAAAAATAAGAAAAATATGTTAGAGAAAGGAAACAGGAAAATATCTTAAAATTAATCAGTTAATAAAAAACATGCATTATGTTGAACTAATGCATCTTAATGAGCAAACCAATAAAAAAGTTTTATCCATTTATTGCTTGATAAAAAAAAGAAAGAAAAAAAAAAGAGAAAAAAATGTAGTTCTCTTATAATTTATCAAATAAGAATAAAGGCATTGTAGAGAACTAAGAATAATTTGGTGATAGATTGGTTGGGGTGTGACTTACCTCCCTGTTCGTCCAACATGACCAAAGTCCTAATACCGGCATCTTTGCTCTACACCATAGAGAAGAGAAAGAGACAACATAATGGTTACAAAATATACATATGTATTCTGGAAACACACTTTTTTTTTTAATCTATGAGGAGTCACAAGAAGCAAGGAACACTTGGCTTCTTACACAGCAATAGTGTAAACCTTTTGAGGCCTGGGACCCCCTTTCAGTAAGAAAATACCTTTTTATTACACTAATATTTAGGATTGTATCATAAGAAATGTATATATGTTAGAACATTGTTTCCCAAAGACTGGGTCGCGACCCCCAGGTGGGTCACAAGAGTTGTTTTTTTATATGATATGATTGTTGCGCTCTCTTCCTGTACCCCGGAGGGGAACACGCTACAAAACACGCTACAAAAACACAAAAAACAAAAAAAAATTTATAATTTCTAATCTTTTTGTAATTATCTTATTGACTATTTTGTTCCAATATTGCTGGTTCAATTGAATGTTGAAAAGAAAAATAAATAGGCTACATTTAATGCCCAAATAGGCGACTTATGGATCCTTTTATTGCTGCTTCACTTACTGTTTTTCATTGTTTAAAACTTGAGTAATACAGTAATTCAGAGAGACACGATCACTCAGTCAACAATAAAATATCCTCATTAATGTTCAATAATGGTCAAACCCACCCTTATTTTGTGATTTACAAATAATATCTATTGACTTGGGTCATGAAGATTTGTGACTTTGAAAATATGGGCCCCAGAAAAAAAGTTTGGGAAACACTGTGTTAGAATATTAGGGGACCAACCATCAGCATGCATTGCTCTATCTCGAGTAGTCCAAAGTTAAATTGTCCATGTTTATTGGTGGCAAACTCTATCAAATGACATAAAAATATAAAAAAACTAAACAAACAAAAAACACAGTTTTCTACAGCATATTTTCTATTAAAATGCTGGCTTGAGCTATATAAAAACATTTAAGAACATCGGCCTATCCATGGCGACTCAGAGAGGAAAATATAAGGGAACATTAATTCAGAAAAACTCAGTGAATTAATTCTATTTTTAACCACAGTGACATTCTAATTAGAATGACCATTTCAACCATATTAACACAACCCTGTCCTATTTTCCTCGGTGGATAATTTAGAAATCTGACCCTTCCCCTCAACACACGAAGCAAGCTTGTATTGATTAGAAGGTCAAAGGTCATTTGGTCATTTCACCCTAAACTGGAAATGTGCAAACTGTCCTCCAGGGACATGTCTTAAAACCAGTGAAACCAGGCTCCAGCGTTCATTAAAAGAAGCGGCTCTCTTTACAAACGACACCATTCATTTACACAAGAAGCCAACAGCTCTATGGCCACAGCCTGACCACTTTATTGACAGGTCGCCCTCACCAATATGCAGTAACTGTAACAAGTATGTTATATAGCTCAGTGCTTTACAAACTTTAACACTAAGTACCATCTTATAAAACCATCTTGTAAAATGAATATAGCTTTTTAACATTCTACCTGGACCAACGGATTATAACTTGAGTCTGAACAAAACCATTAGGTGTAAATAAAGTACGTATACAATTCTACAATCATTTTATAATAATATTAAAGACTCTTTTACCATAGTAAATTCTTTTGAACCATCTTGTAAATACTAATTTTATCTGCAATAATAAAATGGCACAGCGAAACACGCGTCTGAAGATAATTAGTAGCAATAAAGACTAAAAACTATATAATTATTCTACCCACTGGAGCTCAAATATTACAAAAATGAAGAGAAAGTTCCCCACTAAAGCAGATAAATAATGAACCCCAAATCTTTATTTACTGAACAGTAAGTCAATGTAGTAAGTGTTATGTCTTTAGTATGCACAGTCAGGATCACTCAGTCACAGTATCATGGTCCAAAATCCAAAATCCACACTTACACAGACCTTTTTGAAACCTCAGTGTCACTATTGATGACTGAAATTTAAGCTGATGACACAATATTTGAGTGGTCATCATATTTGACTTATTAAAGCAATAATGTAACGTGTAAAAAAAACTGTAAATAGTCATTTTTGATAATGATTTTGATGATTCGCCTTTGATAATGAAAAATGTTCTTGTCTTCTGGGAGCGATGTCTTCAAAAGCCTCTTAGCACTCCCATGCACTTGATAACCATTGTTTATTCTACCTATGCATTTTTTTTTCTATTTCTTTCTATGAACTGTATTTTTTAAACAACTGATAAATATATAAATAGGTAATAGGTTTAGAATGCAACAAATCAGTGATAGTCTGCTCAAATGCATGTTCTGATGTATTAACAATGTACTTTTTTTTTTTTTTCTAAGATTTGAGAAAGCTACACTGCTTTTCTTCTTCTCCTGTTTCTCAAACCCACCACATCTCAGAAATGATTCGTGCTCGTGCCAATAGCCCCCAATACCATTACAATGTGTATACAGAGAATCCACCTCCTCAGCACTTCTGTGAGGGGACAGGCGTCCGGGAGCAATAACTAATCCCAGGAGAATAAATTACAGTGTCATTTGGCCTGGAGAAGGCCCACAGCCGTTACAGTGAGTCTCTGAGGAAAGCCAGTGAAATGAGCGGCTCCATAAACCCACAGGAGCACGTATGATGAGTGCACATGGCAGATCATCACCACTTGTTTTTCCCCACAGTGAGGTCATTGGATTGGTGAATTACTGTGACTGCTTCACCATGTATATTACTGTAGAATACTAAAGATAGTTGAAAAATATTGCATGTTTTTCTTTATTTTTCATCAACAAAAACATATCTGGAGTTATGTTTTGTTTCATTCACACGTTTAACACACAAATCATACAAATTTAGGCTGAGTTTTTCTCTCAAACTGAAAATTAAAAAACTATTCCATCTTGTAATTTCATGAGGTGATATAGGAAGTGCTCTACTGTGTTTTTAAACTCCATACACCTTCACTGGAATCATTTGACTGATTTCAGTCCTAGAATTTCCCATCTCTATTGAACAAAAGGTAAAAGGTAGCTGTTATCTTGAAAACTACCACTATGTAACATCCCAAGGTGGAACAGAGCATGTTGAGCTTTGGAGATGTATAATAAAGACTTAGTCAAACGTGTGAATGAAACAATAAAAACACAGCTCCAGATATGTTTTTCATGAGGTAAAAACATTATAAGTCAAATTTGTATAATATAGGGCCTTTAATTAGCCTGATTCATCAGCTGGTTTTATTTTGTAGCATTAGAATTCGTTCGCTCGACGGTAGGCGAGTACTTTTTTTCATTTACCCAATCGCTGCTATTTGGTTGTGACGTATGTAATGAGCCACTAATGGGGCTAACTGGTATATTAAGCTTTTCCCAAATCCCGTAGGAAGAAGGACAATAACGTCTTTCCCCTTGATAAAATTCACCAAATATTCTCTTTATTCTGGCTTTAAATCCTCGATCTCTGGAATCGTTGCCAACACAGAATGTATGGCTCTTTGCTGATTGGCTGGTGCCCGAACTCGCACTTCTGGGGTTTTTGCGAACCGTCTAGTGTAATTCTGATTCCTGACCTAGCCGCTGGAGAGAAATGATATTGAGCAGAGACACTAGGTAACGCCAGCCTGGCTAGCCTTTATTAGCATGCCTTCCCAATATTATTTCAAAGAATGGCAAATGTAGATTGTGTTCAGATTAGTTCAGGTTTACATTTGTAATCTGCTCTTATTATTTACCGTAAAGACATGTGTAAAGTTGTACTTTTCGCCTTCACAATTTCTAATATTATTCAAATGGCAGTAATAAAGAAAAAATAATATAAAGAGGACACATTTGTCACCCATTTAAGCTATTAGGCTCTTGTAAAGTCAAAAATATGAAGTGCTGGAGATGACATAATAAGTATAAAATAAACAGCTCCTCTAAGTTTGATGTTGTGAAAGCATCAAATACACTTTACTACAGTATTTCCTCATTGACATTGACAGTTTGCATCCTCACAGAGTAATCCTATACACTCTCATGTACACTAAGTATTTGACTGACCTGCTCTTGTCCATTACTCTAGACCTGTATATAACAGACATGGGCTCTGTGTGTGCGGCGACTGGGCAGGGCTGATGGGGGATTGTGACCGCGATCAATACGACCTTCAGAAGAGCGCCGCCTCTGCTGTTTTTTCAACCGTCTGACTTTCCCTCTGCTGTCTATAAAAATTGGCAAACGTGCTCCACCATTTTAAGTGTTGTTGTTTTTATTGCTTTGCTGGCTCTCTTCACCACTTGCTTGTCTTCATGGAGATAGAATATCTCTTAGTATCAATGCAGATGAACAGGTGATGCCTCCAGACCGAGTTACAGGTCAGATTTGGGGAGAGGCAAGCCCAGTTAAAGTAAGAATCTATGTTTTTTGGGCATTACAAATAACTGAATAATTCCAGGCAAAGGAATATCCATCTGCAAGAATCAAATAACCAGAAAAGTTGCATATACTTTGGGTAACACTTAAACAGTAAGTACGTTTATGCCGAAAGTTTGAGGTTGGCAAAAAGACATTGTGTGCTATTTTGAAACTGCAGGTACGCAATTAGAACAAGTCAATATAGGTTTACACAACTTTCTTTAAATCCTGTCAACAAACAAATTACATAGATTTTGAGAAATTATATCTAATTGCTGCTTTTTCATATTATGTGTCTGTCTCTTTAAGACCCCCACGGTTCAGCTCCTCTTTGTTCTTGCGCTCATAGAAACCAGTTTACTGTACATTATGTTCTGAAGTGTACAATAGAACAGGTGCAAAATGAATTGAATCATTTAAGATGTATTTATGCTGCAGGTATAAAAGGACACAGACAATATTTAATAGACTTGCAGGTTTGCAAAATTATGTATAAATAAATGATAGCATAAAAAAATCAAATTCTTTACTGAAATCACAATTATTTTAACAATTTCTGTAATAAAAGTTAACCCATTGAGGTGAACTTAGAGTATTTATTGCTAAAGTTTGTGTTTCATGTTTTAAAGATAATTTTATTTTCAATTTTACATTTTTTAAAAATTGATTAAAGCAAAAACTGTAATCACATTTCAGATTGGTTTACTAGCACAGCTCTACAATAATGCATTTTTTAAAATTTAGTGCAAAATGGACTTTCTAATGCACTTAATCAAAAGCCCAAATGAACAAGCATTAAACTGTTTCTCTGCAGTATCCTGTGCAAGAATGTATTACAATCATTTATTCATAAACCATAAAATTAAACTGTAATAGCTGTAATTTCCATTCATTTTCTTACCTCTTCCACGAGCTGAAGCATACGACGGGTGCTCTCCAGTGACTGTGAAAAAGAAAAAAAAAAAAAGTTATATTTTCAATTTGCAATCCCAAATTTCTTGACATCAGAACTGGGAGCAGGCCCTGGCGTGTGTTTTGTGTAACTCAATGTACAGTAAATGCATTCATGTATTATAAACAGGAGTCAATGTAGAGCAATCAGCAGGACACACAAAGATCAATATCTCACAATAAGAATATCGGCAACCGATCAACACCATTTGTCCTTCAGCTATGACAGCCAACAGGTCTCTCTAATACTCAAGTCAATATATTACAGACCAGGAAATGTATGGCTGTGTGCCTGGAGCTCTCCGTCACGCTAGTTCTCCTCAATTTTTCTCTGTTAAGACTTAGACAGACTTTATAGATCCACAAGGGAAGTTATTTGGGCGCATAATTCAGGCAAATAAATGAATAAATACTAGGCCAGACTCTTTAACAATTGAAGAAAAACTAAGAAACTAATATTTAATTTTACTTTTGTGTTTTATTCTATTCTATAGATTCATGTCAGATATAGCAAAGCAGAACACAATTTGGTATGAGAAAAATAAATAAACATCAGCTAAAGCAAAGCAAAATATCCTGAATCTTGTAAAAGTTCTCCAAATGTCACCTTTATCAGAAATTATTTGGTATTAAAAGCCTGAATTATAGGCACTCAATTAAGGGGTTCACAATAGGAGTTATTGTTAGAGTTTAAATTAAGAAGTTTCTCTGCCTGAATCATTCTTATTAAACTATTTGTTCTTTATTAATGAAGTATTTGTTTATGCATAATTAGCCTATTAAATGTGTAGTTATTGTCAGTGTTACGTTTTATTGATTATTCTTGAATCAATGATAGGAGTAAATCCAGTACTACAAAACAGCTTATCTAAGGTACTCTGCAGCACCATATTTGCTCAGTCTATTTTTAACCTGTGCCTTCCTCTCTTTAAGCCCTGTGCTCTGAAAAGGCTTACCTCCGCTGTATACGCGCTATAGTGAAAGTGAAAGTCATCAGGGAGGGAGCCATTTTGTGCCGGGCCTGTGTGTGTGTGTGTGTGTCTGTGTATACGTGTGTGTGTCTGTATCAGTGTGCAAATGTGTCTGCGTATGTGTGTGTATGCCTGTGTGTGTGCGTGGATGGAGCAAGTGTTTAATATTCTGCTCAGCTGTGTGCAGTGAGTCACATGTGGAGCTGGAGGGGCGTGGGCCGCTCTAGGCCTGTCTCTGTCAGAGCACACAAACACTGCACTGTGCTGGTAAGCAAGGACATACATGTGTACTGTTCGTTATACGTTATATTATATACATGTCATATGTATATGTATGTATGTATATAATTGTATGCATATTCTTAAAAGGCCTATATTACGCAATTTTGTGATCTGTTATAATGTTGTTTCCTCATCAAAAACATACCCGGAGCTGTGTTTAGTTTCATTCACAAATGTTTAACACACAAATTGTGCATATTTAGGCTCTCTCAAATGGAAAAGACTCTTTGTGATGTCATGTGGTAATACAGGATGTGCTCCACTGTGTTTTTAAACTCCATGCACCTTCACTAGACTCATTTGGATCATTTCAACCCAGAATAGCTCTACTGAATTTAAGGTAAAAACATAGCTGTTAAATTGAAGGCTACCACTACATGACATCAAATGGTAGAACAGAACATTTTGAGTTTTGGAGATGTGGACAGATTAATAATTAAGAACGTGAATGTGTGAATGAAACAAAAGACAACTCCAGGTATGTTTTTGATGAGGTAACAACATTCCAGCATGGCTTAAAGCTCACAAGAGTCAATTTAGCAGAATATGGGACCTTTACTGAACACAGTTACATCAGTTTACAAAAGATTTTGTTCAGATTATGGTGGTGTTTTTTTGTTAATGATTTTGTCTTATACCAACCAAACAGCAACAAAACATATGCATCACATATACAAGACTCCTTTGACACTTATTATGCAAAATCGACTTTTCAGACCTTTTAATTGTCTTATAGGTGATCCCTCTTCTCATTTAACCTCTGGAAGTTGAATTTGGAGTTATTCGTGCATGTTTGAGTAATCTTTAATCACTTATTTTCAAGACGCCATATTGCTGCTCATGCCCTGTGTTCACTGCCTCTGGCACACGCACACTGCTCTGTACTACCTTATTTTCCAGTGATACACGTAACATTCAGCAGCAGAGTTTAGTCATTTTGGTACGAATGAAAAAAAAATCTGCTGCTCGCTAGAATGATGTGCAGATATTCTCTGAGTTGCTGGTGTTATGGATCTGTTGGTGGTGATATATCAACATGGGGCGATGTGGACGTGCCTTGCAAGGACCCAGCCTTGATAAACCCAATATTTCCTTTTAAACTCAGTATCCGTGTTTCTTTTGAGTGTGTTTCACAATATTAAATCATCCCCGAGGTACATATGAGGCAAAGCAGGAGTGCCAGTGCATTTGAACGTGAATGTAGTGATAGGTGCGCACTTTCCCGGACTGATGCGGCCCATTTGCAAAATACTTGCCATGGGTTGCAAATAGACAGACCTCTCACTGTTTTCTCCTAGTATGGAAGCGTACATATACACATATGTGTAATTGTTGACTTTGAGACTCTGGACAGGCCCCTCAAGATACAATACACCTAGCTCTCTGTTTTTATTAAAGCAGACCTATTATACAAAACCATGTTATAGATGTTTATCCTTCTCATTTACCCTTAAGAAATTATGTCTGGAGTGATTTGTGCATTTTTGAGCAATCTTTAATTGCTTATTTTGATGCCATATATATTATTTCTATTTCATTTTTCTTTTATTAATTCATTTTAGATGAATATTGTGATTTAAAACGTGCAAATCATAACATAATGATCCACGGGTATCATAGATTATAACTCTACACCACATGCTCAATATGTAGTCTTTAAATCTCTTGTGAGAATAATGAACTCTTTCCTACATCTTATCTTATCATAGTATTCGGCTTTCATTGTGAATCTTTAAACATTTCCAATAACAAAGTAACAATGCTATTAGCTAATCCTGCCATTCCTTCATGTTTCTTTAAATATCTTCTCTGGCATGTCCCCTCCCTCCATCTGTGTTGCTGTTTTCTCTGTAGCTCATTTTCACATTTTCAGCTCCATATTTGAGTGTATTTGTGTATTTGTGTGTTTGTGTGAACACGCCTGAGCCTCCATGACTGTGTGCTTCTCACCTCGTCGGCCAGCTGGTCGGCGCGCTGCTGCATGTCTGACAGCTCATTGCGCATGTCGGCGTCATCTGCCATGGTGCTGCTGTTGGGTGGAGGTGTACTCCGAAGGGGAACTCAAGATCCTATGGGAACGGGGAAGGCTGCAAGAAGAGAGAGACAGAGAGAATGTGTTTTAAAATTTTTTAATAATTCAGATGTTTTTAGGTTTATCAAACATCTCAAGGAAATTCGACTTTTCAAGAGCCATCGGAAATGCAGATAATCTTAAAAGTGCACAGTGTAACCTTTCTGGTTCACAAACTCATAGTCGAGATCTTTGGTTTTATCATGTTCCAGAGTATAGCATTAAACTTGTACCTCATGCATTATTTCTGTACCTTAAAAGATGTCATTTTAAATAATTCAGCATTTCAAATGTCATCTGAAATGTATATAATCTTAAAGGTGCAGTGTGTGACTTTTCTGGTCCACCAGCTCATGGAGATGTTTGGTTTTGACATGTTCCAGAGTATGGCATTAAACATATGCATTAATCCTACTTTCATTGAATCAATTGCAGGTATTTTATTCCTTAACAGAGACAACAAAAACATTTATTATTACTGTGGACTTGCCTCTCCACAGATCTGACCCTCACCTGGAAAGTTACATAGTGCACCTTTAAATAAGCCAGGTCTAACGATGCATTCACACTTGCACACCAGGACTAGACCAGGACTAAACCAGGATCAAACCATAATGAGATCAGGACAAAACCAAGACGAAACCAGGACTAAACCACGCCTAAACCAGGACTAGACCAGGACTAAACAAGAACAACAACAGGACCAGACTGAACTAGACTCAAACCAGGACCAAGTGCATCTCTCTCAACTCTTGCTCAGTATAATAACAAAACCAGGAATGACTGAATTAAAATGAAATCAATTGTACATCCCGATCAGATTTAAACCATAAATTAATGATGTATACACTGGATCTAAACCAGTATCAGATTAGTAGCCTGATCTAAACCAAGACTAAATTTAACTTGACCTAATCTAAATAAGTGACTTCAAACTTAACAAAACGATAACTTGAATACTCCATAAACTCTTGAATTTCCCCCATAAAGTGTTTGTAAACCAGTAGTACTTTCACCACAGTTTGAGAACCACAAATCTGCTTCAAACCCACTGACCCCACAGAGGAGTCCACACAGTACATGAATCATCTATATGCAAAGAAGGATGCAGGAATGGTATGAAATTTGCATATATGATCCACAAACAAAACCCATGGGAAAGAAAGTATGGCACTAACCTTATGTTCAGTATAGTGGTAGAAACTAGCTGCATACTCTATAAATAACTAACTGCTGAGACTAATATGAGTCAGAAATCTCATCTGTAAGTAGATTGCCAGATAAACAGGAATTAGAATAGAGAAAATAATAACTGTAATTGGGCACTATTATCTTGTTTTCTCATATCAGTCTTGTCTAGTGTTGTGTTGGAACAGTTTAAGGAAACGGCCTGCATTCTATAAATAATGTAACTTCAAAAACCTTTGTTTGCCATAGCTGTTCTCAAGCTTTAGTGGTAGTATTAGACGTGACAGAGCCCAATGGGTATGTGCCGCCCAAGGACTGATCGTAAGCTCCAATAATGGATTAGTAACACAAGTGTTTGTTTGACTGAATGGGAAAAGGAAATGATGGTCTCAAGTGAATTGGACTGACCTGGATTTGGAGGATTAGGGTTTTGAAATCTTTAACCGTGTTTCTTTCTGTAATTACTTTCAAGAGCACAGTACTAAAATTATAGAGAGTCTAAGATGCAAACTACTTATATGTTATATGGATATGGTACTTGTCCAATGCCTCTATGTAGGGTTATAGAAAGGTTTTCATGGCACAGGTAGCAAATAAGTAGTAAATATCATCCAAAAAATACTCAATTACAATTCAAGTCCAACATTTTTTGGGCCAATTTCATGAGCTGTCATTTTTGTGACTATATTTTTGTATTTTCATCAAGTTTGCAGACCCATGCTGACAAAAACAAAGCAGCTTCTTTTTTGTGACAAAATCATTTATAATCTCAATGTAATTTCTGCATTTACACGTTACTAGGGTAGGGTTGAAAATCAGATAATGATACTAAAACTAGGATCAGAACTATTTACTAATTTGAGCAGGTATCGATACTAAAAAAGTCACATCAGCAGAACAGACATGAACCTTTAAAGAAGATTTAGAATGATCTCGAGGTGTATCAGAACAAGTATAAGAGCACAAAGACAAGTAAACACAACTATGGAAGCTATCTGGATGACTTAGAGATTATACAGACTACATGTTATTTAATAACTCAATTTTCAAAGGCTTTGTGGTGAGCCTCATCTTTTTGGTCTTAAAATGTCTGTGTTAATCCATTCTACGCTCAACTCCAAATTCACTCCTATAACTGCTCATGAGCTCCATTTCACGGGAGCTTTCAGACTACAATACATTTTATACTAAGCAATGGCCAATATTCAACATGCACTGTAATTTTCACATATATGCTTAATGAAGTAGACTATTATATCTGTGATACACAAACAGCTGTGATATTTCTAGCATGCAGCAAGTAGAAAACTTCATAGGACATCAGATCTAAAATATAATTTTCAAATAGACAATGGACACACCCAGGTAGCAGATGTGAAACTTTAAACACAAAATGTATATAATATTAAAGGTGGACTGCTCAACTTTTCTGATGAAGGGTCTGGCACCTGCTTATTTGCTTGGCTTGTGTTATTGGTTTGCCTGGAATGTTCTACGGTATGATTTTAAACATTTGCATCTAGTATTTATTCATTACGGGTGTTTCTATTGCTCAAAAATACAATAATTCTCTCTGTGAATAGGGGTGACTCTCCACAAATCTGAATTGTAATGTAGTGTAGTGCTATTACCTGCTTGTCTTCCTTGTGATAGATAGGTTTAATGTATACTGAGAAACACTCTAGAAAAGCCATAACATCTCCATGGAGACAAGCAGATAGCGGACCCTCCACTAGAAATGTTACACAGTGCACCTTTATGGAAAAGGCTCAATACTCAATACCAATTTCAATATCACAACGAAAGACTTTATACACATTGTTTACAACAGAAATTAGTAATAGTAATATTCAAGTCAAAAATAACAGTGTCTTCTTTATAATTACCATGTGGTCCAAAATAATAGTTCTTCTTCTGTCCTTCTTTTAGCATCAATTATTATCTTAGTATCGATTTTCTCTAAGACTCTACAGCAGCCCAGCAGTCGTGGTCTGAGTACAGGCCCTTGGTGTGCAGCCTGTAGTTCATCTGTATTCACATATGAGGATGGAGCCAGTCATGTGTGCAACCACATCTCCACAGCATCAAGATACACACTCTGGGAGTGCAGTTCACGTTCAAATGAAGACTGCAATAACAACATCAACAAAGCGGTTTTATCCATACAGTGTGTAAAATATATATGGCGTGTTTAATGTTTAACCCTTTTTGTTTCATAAGACTTATAAATAGGCAAAACAAGCCAGATGTTTCTAATACTGTATGATGATGTATGAAACAAAATACCATGTTTTCAATCAAGTAAAGCTGAAACCGATATAGGTCGATATTTCTCCTGTTTAGCTTATTGGCTATCAGTCTTAAATCTCCAGCAGAGAATGATATTTTGTTTGGCCCAAGCAGCAGCCTAAATATGCATAAAGCTGTATTGGAACACTTTAGCCCAAAGAGGATACTGTGAAAGTGTGACTACACCAGTTTGTAGTGAAATAAGGTCAAGAATGAATTTGTGCTAAATTCAAATGAAAAAAATTACCTTAATGGGCACTACATATCGGTTAAAAATATCGGCAGAGCTATGAATCAATCTCTAGAGAGCATAACATCACACAGACTTTAATAGATGTAGATTTATGAATCACTGTGATCTGCAGTTTAACAGTAACACCAAATGAAATTGTATGATGCCATGTTTTCTAACCAAATGTTTACATAATGATTTTCAGTTCAAATAAAAATGGCATTTATATGATCAGTTACAAAGAAGGATTAGATAAGAATCTTAGCTGGTCTTTTTGCTGTTTTACTATTGTGTGCAACACTGAGCATATTACAATATTTCTCTAAATTTTGAAATCCAAGTCTAGTTTTCATACTGATGAACAAGGAATAAATACAAACCTTACATTTTTTAAGCTGCTCTTATCTGCTTTTGCAATCAAACTCAGCTGATAATAAGGCCTAATAAATCTATTTGAAGACCACATACAAATAGTTGTTTAAACTATATCCCCAAATCCATGTGTTCTCCTCTCTTACTGCGTTCACACTCCTCTCAGCAGCAGCCATATTGTCTTATATAAACCAACTCTCTCTCTGTTTGAAGTCCACACGATCCCACTGCAGCTCTCACGCTCCTGTCTCGTTGCATAACTGTAAATTCAGGCAATTCATTTCTCTCTCTTTGCTAACTTATTTCCTTTTAGTTTCGATTACAATTAATTCTAGTGATAGGACTTTTTTATGAAAACAGAAGTCAGTGTAAGAACTCATTTAATCTTCAAACTAATCACACAGAGAAATGGGACTGTGCTGTAGAAATATGAAAATCTAAATAAAAAAAACAAAAACAAAACTTATTATGCCAAATATGTTTTTTTGTACCCAGAGCTCTCACCTGTGTCACCTACTCTGCCTCTATGCTGAGTCTTGAGTCGGTTCAGAGTTAAAATGTCCAAAAATGAGCAAGAAAAAGATTTGATTCTTTTAAAAAATGGGATTCGGATCCAACCGTTCACGTTAAGGAACCGTTCAAAAGCGCCGACTCTCATCACTAATAAAGTCATCCCTGCACCGTCAGCCTTCTGATGCAACATATGACAAGATTTATGTCACGCAGCTATCAGTAATCTGATGTGAGAAAGAAAGAGGGTTTGGTCATGTGATGGTAGAGCTGTATGCACATGTCATTCACTTCAGAAGCTAAAAAGATTTCCCTGGAGAGTGTATATGTTGGCTGATTAAGTGCAAAGCAATATAGCGT